ATCTTAGACTCTTTGCATATAGATGTTGTTGTGTGTCAAACTGTGGTGCCTCCCAAGTGATGTACTGCAGTGCTAATGCATTGTTTAGTCAGCACTTTACACCTGAGCGTATGCAGCTGCGGACATGTGAGGTTTTATTAACTACCCTTTGCTTCAAGGACCGAGGGAGGTCTAAAGCATAACGCTAGATTTTAACTGTAAAATTACGAATAGGAATTTTAAAGATGCAAATAACTGGAAGAAAATTGCGGTGAAATTTGTATGTTTTAGATGTTTTAGATGGACATGACTGCAGATGGTGTAAAGAAAGGTTAAAGAAAATAAAGAAGAAAGAGAAAACAGGTTTGGTGTGCATTGATCTCAAAGTGGACGTCAAATTTGTGTCCAGCTCTCATTCGCTTGTCTGTTCTCATCAGCGGTGTCTGCAGGCCACTGTCGCTTTTGCTCGCGGAATCTATCACAGAAAGAAAGCATCTGATATGATAAGAGGACTCTATTATCTGACTGGTTTAATCGAGGACGAGGTATGTGTCTGATCTTTCAAGTGATGTCATCACCTCACCCACAGAATCAACTCGCAGAGCGGAGAGCAGACATGGAGATAATGTACTGTAGAGAAACAGGAAGAGCTGACTTGCATAATATGAATGCCAAGCTGTCCCCTAAAGACAGAGCATGCACTTCATACAAATGCAGCATAAACTTCCAGCGTATGCTCAGTTTCTGTTTGTCTTGTAATGCAAAGGGAAAGCAGGAAATCGCAAAACAATGAATGAGTCAATAAACACATTTATGGAGATCCTGACTCTGCTGGGACTAAGTTTGAAAATTTATATCTTGCAATTTTATGAATGAGTTCTTGGAACATTTATGTTTCTAGGGGAGGTGTGCCGAGCATATCCCACCTGTTCTTTTGAAGCAACCCTTCTGATTTTCATTCATGTCGTTTCCCCATTTAGGGACTGTTTGAACTGCTGGGGTTTAGCAGCTTTGCCAGTTGATGACTGTTGTTGTGGGATGAGGAGATAATATGTCACTTACAGGACTTTTATTGTATTTTTTTAGCAGGCTTGCAGATG